TAACCCTGAAATTTCCAGGTTATATTATGCAAATAAATATTTTTAGCTATAATGAGAGTTGATATTTTTGTGTTGTATTATGTTGTGGGAGAGCTTGGGATTAAACCCATTATATTCTGCTCATTAAGCAAAACCGATCCCTCTAAGGTTATCGAGCATCTCAGAACCAAAACATTCCACGGTAAAACATGATTAAGCCCTCACCTGGTATGTAATGAACAACAGAAATACGCGATAATTCATATAGTTTCAGTATATGATGCAATAACACAACTGTTGATAAAAGGAACGGATCCCATCTTATTTAAGACCTGGATGACCTGAAATGTGTGTTACCGGGTTAATACTTATTTAAATGTAATATAATATTGAAAATGCGTTATAATGCCATGTAACAAGATACAATAAACACAAGAATGAACGATCCAAATTTCTTTTCAAGCTGGCACTATGCTTCCCTGGAGCCGCTCATAATAGCTAACATTAAGAATTAAGTATAATAAAATGTAATTTACAATAATATTAAATGATGTAAAGTCAATAATGAAAGATATGTACTACTATAAACACTAAACATATACGATAACCAATAGCTAGCTTAGCTTAGATTGACTGCACATATCAATGGTTGTTACTCCGTGATTGATCAGAATCAGTGAAATTGTACAATGAATCAATTGAATGGGGCTGGGAGTGACCGTCCATTCTCATTGTACAGGTTTCAGTGATTCTATATTTTGTAGATCAATAACGGCGCCGGCCACGTCCTTGCAATCAAGGGAAGGAAGGTTGGAGTGACCTTTGTTGTTTGTGGGCCGTGTTTACCTCTGCACCCCAATAAAAGACACAGGAAAGGAGATTTTGTTAGTAAGTTGGGTTCGTTGGATCAGGATTCACCTTGATAAGTGATGCGACAATGGTTTTAAATGAATCAGTGTTATCATGCATTATACTTGGATTTGCCCGAACCCAAAACCAAATGGTGTATAATTGGGCCTTATTACGGGTGTCACTACGCGGTGATAAGCAAGTGATACTCAGAATAAGAGCCGCGATTACCGTGCAAATCAAATGGGAATCACTTCACCGTGACGACAAGTGACAACTTTTCACCGTAATGTGACATCCGTAATAAGCCCGATTATAATATAAATCTGAAGACGTTCCATCATCGAAATGCTGAAAATAAACTTAGAGCATGAGCATGAGCAAAATTGATCGCCCGCGACTGCCAACACCAAAGAGCTGAAAACCAATTCAAACAAATCAAATCAACAGACAAAACCAGGGTGAAAGCTGTAAGAGTGAATCATTACAGTATAAATCTAATGATGTTCCGTCATCAAAGTGCTGGAAGAAAACTCAAATAATTTAAATCAATAGATCCAGTCTGAATGAAGGCTGCAAAAAGAGAATAATTATACAGCAATGACCCCATTTTGTCAGCTAGCAAAGTATGTGTATCTTAAACATTCATCTGAAAGGAGGAAGGTATGAAATCACAATTATGTGGAATTATTGAAAAATAACAGTCTGATGCGCGGAGAGGTTGACAGGATCGGGTCATAACTGTAATGTGAATATTAGGAAGATTTATCATCATCAATTTATTCTTGAATTAACGTGGAAGAATGCTTGTGAATAATTGTTATACAGATAAATTAAATTGATAAACTAAATGGTTCAAACAACAACTCCAGCCTGTAGAAAAGCTGAAAATAGGGAATCTATACAATGTGGATCCCCCACAGTCTTCCACTCAGCAAGCAAAAGCGGCAGCCACCAGGCTAGTCGAGCTGCTCAATTTACACACTTAGAAGTTATTATTTTTACACGAGACGTAATTCAGCTTTGACGTAAATCATGGAACGTAAACAAACATGGCATGTAAAATTAAGTGTCCGGAAACTGAAACATATGTAACTCGACGAAAAATTCGTTTGATTGAATTGATTTTCTCGTCCATTTTAACTGATTCTTATGTCAAAAGGGCCGCTTGCATGTGTCGGTCTCAGGGCACTGAAATGTACATGTCTTTTTCGTAGTGTGTAGATATTGGGACCTTATTTTGTAAAGTTCTTAAGAATACCGATTGAAACACAATGTAAAAAAATAAAAGTTAAGAGTCTCATCCGAATCAAATGATTCCAAACGATACGCATTCATAGAAATTAAGTTTAAATAGACTAAAGTAGATAAAAGGAACAATCTCACCAAATCAGTCCAACTGAATCCCTTGCAAGCAGCTATGTCACGCTTGGTGTAGTAGCTTCGATCATAAACCCGCCCTACGGGGATCAATCCTCTGGTCGAATGTAGTCGATTGCTCCATGACGCGAACACGAAGCGACCGCTTACAAAATCATACAACGCGTAAACAACTGAATCAAAAACTATGACTCGCGACGCCAAAAATTTCTGTACCGGGAGCACAAGCGAAGAAAAAACAAACAACGCAGATAGCGACATCTCTTCTGATGCCTGCAAACATGTTGCATCACGTTTTCTTTTTCGATTCCAAAACTTCTCGGAAAGCGAGAAAACCACCAATCACACACGTATAACCGTCCGGGAGGCAGAGTGCCAGCGCTTATCTGGCAAAATCAGCGAACGCACGCACAAAACAGAAACAAACACCACCGTATCCGAAGAGGTTCGAAGCTGAGCTGAGTGCTTATGCGTTTTTCAAATGTAATAATTAATAAATGTAATAATAATATTACGTTTTGATTTTTCTAAAAATATTTGAAAAAGAATTAAAAAATCTAAAAAAAATCACATCTTTTTTTTATTTTTGAAAGAAAATTCACGTGCAAAAACATTTTTATAAGACATCATGCCATAAATTTGGACTCAAAAAACCACAAAACATCGATTTTTCAGTTTTGCTGACGGTCTAATTTATTTTCATGATGAGATAAAAAAAATAGGTTAACATGTAACTTTTTCCAGGAATCTTAGAAAAAAACCGATTTTCTTGGATTTTTGACATACTTTCCCATTTTTTAAAAATTAAATCGTTCCGAAAAAAAAACAAATTATTTTCGGGACGGTAAACTTCCCCTTAAGAAAAAGTTCACCGCTCCAAAAAAATATACGTTTTGATTTTTCTAAAAATATTGAAAAAAATAATCAAATCATTTTTTATGAGTCATTATGGCATAAAGTTGGACTCAAATAACCACAAATCTAGACTCTAAAAACCACATTCTGAGAGTTCAATTTCTTTCATGATGAGAAAAAATATTTTTACATGTAATTTTTTACAAAAATCTAAGGAAGAAACTGATTTTCTTGGATTTTTGATAATTTCTTCCAATATTAAAAAAAAAAAAATAAAATCGCACAGAATTTTTTATTTTTTTTATTTTCGGTCCGGTAAACTACCCCTTAAATAATTCACTATCAGCCCCTTTTTCTCTCACATTCAACATGTTGGAAAGTTGAGTAGTCAGCAATTGCAACAGTTGGCCTGGGTTTGAGACTCGTTGAAGCCATAATTGATGTTTAAATCTTAATTTTTCTGAAATATCTCATTTTGCAATTGATTTATTCTTCAGCAACTCAAAAAACTTTGCTGTTGGTTGGATATTACAACAACTTATTTTGCCTTTATTCAGTTATAGTGTCATAGCTTTTCAGTTATTGTTTTTGATATGTTAACTCTTATTTCGATCAAAACAATTACAAATTGAGATGTTCTGATATTCTTTTATTAAAAGTCAAACTTTCTATTGGTTTATAATTCTCTTCTACTGGGATCTCCACACATGGTCTTGCCTTTCGGTATCGTTTTCAAGAAAACATGTTTACAGTTACAATAAGTATTTTGTTAAAACATGAGGTTGAGTTTTTATAACTAATGTCCCTTATTCTAAACGTATATTTTGTACCTTATTAGGTACACCCTCTGCTTGTTTTACAATTGCATGTTCTGCAACTCTATACTTGGTTTTACTGAGCTTATCGAAGCCTGGGTGAGTTATGGCAGTTTCAAATCGAAATCAACTGGATCCAAACATAATGGAAACTATGCATGATTTTCGATTCTTCAAACAGATAGGATTAACTAGAAGTCAACCAACAGCTCATGCTTTTCAGCATTAGAAAATCTGTCACCACAACCGGTGCTGATTAACGATATCAGTGTAGATCTATCAGCCAGTGCTGCAAAATCTCGACAGTACACGGTGATATTGACAATTCTGCTTTGGTCACTCATTTAAGCTAAGAGTCATAGTCAAGGCAAACCATGTCAATTGTCAATGACAATGGTGTCAGTGACGAACATGTGCAGATTTGTTTATTAGCTAAATGTGTAACGAAATTAAATAACTTGAGCAAAACAATTACATGGATCCATTTTAGTGAACAAGTATCTACGTCCTGAGCTACTTGGATAACAATAATGCGACACAGAATGTACTAAATTACACTTTCTGTTACCAGGTGAATCTTTGTCATTGACGAAAAAATGAATGAGATTTTGACGCAGGTTTTTTTGAGGATCAAGTCTGTCAGTGACTATGTGACGAACAATTTTGTCAATATCGCGCGAAAGTCTGTCAATGACAATGACAAATCTCAGCACTGCTATCAGCAGTTGGCAATCAGCACTTATACCAATGAGCATGTATGAACTCTCTTTCGTGAGAATAATGAATGGATTGTGAAATATTTCATCAACTGTGCTCGCTTTCAACTGCATCAACCCACCTACCACGTGTTTACAAGCGATGTGAACGTGCACCACAGAATATGCGAAACTCACGGTGAGACAACCACTGAGCAACCATCAGCTGACTCTCCGTTCTTTCTGGAGCCAGCCACTCACTCTCAGGCAGGAAAAACTCTCTCCTGTTCCGATGGAAATTGCCTGCACACTGCGCTAGGGTCGGTGCTGGAGTAGCCAGCATCACAGAACGACCACCCAGGATGCTATGAAGATGCTGCTGGTTCTGCATGAAACACGCACCACCGTTCAGTTGGACATTGACGGTCGCTGCGACGGCAGGTTTAGCGGAAATCGTCCACACAGTTGGGCCAGAGTCAATTCGGAACGTGATTTTCTAGCGCGGAAATCGACAGTGTTGTGATTATTGGCAGAAAGTGCGAAATCGATGAAAAGCGGGAAAAAGGATTCAACCGGGTGTTCCGGTCGGCACGGGGAATAATTCATGTCCGCGCATATTAGGATTTATGCGAAATTGCTGCCGGTGATCCATTAAGCCCCGAAGGCGATAAAACCAGTTTTGTGCTCGGGGCGTTTCTTTAGTGTAAGAGTTACTTTTCAGTGTTTGCTTGGAAGTTGATTTAGTGAAAGGGTTTGCCGATTGCCAGATGAAGAAACCGCGTAAATGCAAATTGTGGAGAGTGGTGGATTTTGACGCAATTGCATTTGTAATTCTGAGAAATCAATTAAATGAAGAATAGGAAAATCCATGCTCTCGATCGAAGATGTGAAGTGCCCGTTGGATTTAATTGGAGCAGGTATTGAAGAAGCAGAAACACAACGTAGTGAAACCATTCGATAATGTGCATTGTGCAATTCACAGATTTTCGTTGGCGCACTACCCGGCATAGTGCGAACAAGTTATGGGTCAGAAGTACCACCACCAGGTTAAATTGATTATTTATCGACACTAGATTAAATATCAATTAGCACCGGGAGAGGTGCTGACAAGTGATAGTGCATCAAGAGCCAGTTTTTAGAAAGTTGGGTCGGGCATCGAAAATGAGATCCCACAAGGGGACGTGATTGGTGGCTGCGATATGATGTGAATAAATAATTGAATATTGTAGTTTGAATTCGGTTGTGTATTTCAGTGGTGATATAGCAGTACAATGTTCATCGTGCATTCAAAGAGAGGAGAACAGCGAAACATTGGTGCAACATCCAGTTCCATTGCTTGTTGGTGTTTTACATTTTTTAGAGAGATTATCGGATGCCACTAAAAACGTCGCTGCATGAGTTGTGAAATTATTAGGATTTATTATTGAGAAGCAGTGATCTATGGATATTGGATTTATGGCTCATCGGATTTATGTTTGTTGTGAGTACACAATTTCAATGATGTTTATTAGATTTTCAATTCATTTACGACAAATACGTTTAAATGACGGAGACTATATTAGCACTGATTTTTAACTTTTGTCAATCAAATGTAAATAGTTTACGAAATAGTCCACTTTACAGCTTAAACTTTAAGCACGACATGCCGTGCTTATGATGGTGACGAGTTTGATTTTCGGTCTAGTCGCAGGTTTGTAGGGCTACGTAGATCATTTTTTGAGAGGTTCTAGACCCCCCCCCCCTTTCCTACCCCTGCGTATTCAATCGTACACATTTATGAAAATATGAATGGAGCGTAGACAATCACCAAACCTTAAAATGTCTGCGTGGATTATGAACAGCCGTGTTTAAAATCCAGAATGTTTTCAAAATGATGCATAAATTACAAAAATCATTTCAATTCAATTTCAAACATCACCAACATTTCCAAAGAGCACAATGCACAGTAGTCCCAAAGCCGTATGTAGGAAGACAAAACTGTTTACGCGTAAGCCATTAGTTTTAGGATAATGGAGTATTCTAGTTGGTAACATATGCGTAAAATAAGAATTAGTGAGTTCTGAATATCAACACACCCTAACAATAAGAACCATACTAATTTCACTCGCATCATAAGAATGGCTTTAAATGTGTAAACTTTGTCGCGATGATGACTCCATTAACCTAAAACTAACCATTTTTGGCTAGGTCCATTGTGTGTTGTGAATTTTGGTCGGAATAATTGGTGACAGTGTTTGTTTGAATTGTAATTACGCTTTCATTTATTGAATATTATGCGTATTTCTGTTCAGGCAGAGTTACCCAATTGTGTAACGAATGGTTTTAAAAATGGATTCAACACGTTTTTCCATCTGTGACCAATAGCCAGTCACACAAACTATTTCACCTGTATAAAACATTCCCAATCGATTGGTCTTTATTCGCTCTAACTCGACAGTTTGATTACGACATCAGCCCGGCCAGACGACATTTGGTGATGTCTGTATGTGCGTCTGTGGAGGCGTACCAATCTAGGCAAGCGTTCTTTGAGATGGCTTATTCGATCAATATGGTTGATATCTCATATCAAATCTAACCTAATCGAATCTAACACCACCACAGCCAGTTCTTGAAAGCATCCTGGAAAATGATGGATGTTCCTCCATCATTTTTCTTGTCTATTTAGTATATGCTTCACTAGACTGGCCCACAAAAATAAATGTTCGAATTTTCCACGGGCCAACCCCTAGATTTGTTCCCTTAGGTGAGAAAACCACTATCCGAAAGTTTCTGCTCATTTGATTCTAAGATGAGCTAGAGCTTTTAGTTATCGCACCAAAAGACACGAGCCTGGATGTTGGCCTGTGGAAAATATGAACTTTTATTTTTAGTTGTAATCTAGTAGATACGTTGCATAAAGCTGCCTGTATTTTGTTGCAATATACGAGCAGAATGCACATAATTAATTAATATCTCCATAATACTAACTTGAATCATGATGCTGTCTTCAGCAAAGTTGTTTCTTAAGGCCCACGCACATTAGATCCGGATCGGACGCGTTGCGGCAAAGTGACAGCTACATCTATTGTATAACTGTCAAATTTACGTCAACGCAACGCAAACGGATCTAATGTGGGTGGCCCTTTATAGTTAGAGCTACAAGTGCTGACATTCTGACCTTAATCGAGTATGCTGAACCAGTTATATGCCCGAAAGATTGAAGGCTTGTTATTCTTCTATACATTTACATCCGAATGTGCTGAAATTTTTAGAGAGTGGTTTTTTCACCTAATGGCACAAATCTAAGGGGTTGACCCGTTGAAAAAAAATGATAAAAATTTCCCCATATAAATGTGGTCCAGTATAATGTTGCACATTGAAAATGCGTCATACATACCAAATAGGCCTACTGTGCAGAATTTAAGGGGCAAGATGATTCCAAAAATATCGGACCGAATATTTAAACAAGATGCTTCAGAATGCAAATTGTATGGATGAAATGTGGACATATCGTACCGTACTTTCCGTTTTTGGTTGGTCGTGGAAGCATCTAAGCTATAAAGGAAGCATCTAAGCTATATATGCTCCACTTTTCTCTGACGGTTGGGACATGAGCATTAATTCACCAAGTAGACTAAATTTTAGCATTCTATTCAAATAAAGTTCCGACAGAACCTTCAATTTTGAATAAAGTTCTGACGGAACTTTCAAGTTCCAAACAGTTTAAATAAAGTTTCGACAGAACTTTCAAGTTCCATAAAGTTCAAATAAAGTTCCTACAGAACTTTCTTCCCAAGTAACCGAATGTTCCGCATTCAACGATAAAACCCACTTTTAAGTTCCATAAAGTGCATATAAAGTTCTAACACAACTTTTTGGCTACTTTAGAAGCTATAGAATGCACACGAGGAACTTCAGGCTACAAATGTTTCCTAGTAACTTGAAGTTCAAAAAAAGTTCCAAATAGCATCCCTAAGCACTTCTTAGGAACTTCAGGCAAGGCTGAAAACATGGTCACGACAAAGTTTCAAACAAATTCCCAGCAGATCGTTTAAGCAACTTTAAAGTATCTTAAAAGTTCCCTGCGGAACTTCTTAACAACTTGAAAGTTACGTCATAACCCACAAGATTCAATTCACACAAGTCTTTATTAGTAACAAAATTTAATGTACGTAAATATGAAATGATCAGTGGCACAAATAAATCATAATTCTTATATTTATGCAGTGCATACATTTTCTATCCAAACATAAAAAAAAATCAAAAGCAATTTCCTGGATTCAAACCCTTGTATTCGATATGTGACCTCTACGCCACAAGTGTGTTGCAATAAAATGAGGGCAAACACCAAATTTTAATTTATCAAGGTATTGTATTTCGTATTCAAGTCAGTCAGTTGGGACTGGAAACTCCAAAAGTAGGAGGACAACAGCTCACTTTCTTAAATCTCAGATGACGTAGCGGTTCGTGCTGGGGCTCTCACGCAGAAGGACTGGGTTTAGTTCTTCAACCACCCTTAATACCATCTATGACTTATGCTTATAAATCAATATACTTTCATCCCTGCCTTTATAAATAACTTCCAAAAAGACTGTACTTTATACCTTACTAAAATGCTCTTCTATTATGGTACCTGAACTTTCAAGTTCGTTATAAACGACTTAAAAATGAGGCTGCTTAGAATTATATAGACCACCAAGCTGCTTAAGCCACAAATAGCCTTTAATCAGAACTTTTGGTTACTTGGGGGACTTATGGCTATAGCACCATTACTTGCTTCTGAAAAAAAGGAGAAGGACAATGGGAAAAGGATCATATATATACTCTATGCCGGAGACGAACCAGCTAAGGGCTGAAAGTTTCCTTAATAAATATATAAGAAAAATACTCTATGAACATAAGCAATAATTTTGATTTCAAATATACAAAATAATTTATAACGGGGGTGGTCACTACCCGAGTCTTATAACTTTTAACAAGTCATAATAAGTGGCAAGGACCAGAATGCGTTCCCTTGATTACTGAAAAATCGTGTTCCCCTAGTTTGAAGTTATTCAAACTAAGGCTCGGTGGTAACTCTTATAACAGTAATGCACCACAAAAATGTGACCTACCAGCGATAGAAATGGATGAAAAGGAACGCACTCCCCAAGTTTAGCCAATTGAACCTAAAGGCAGTTTGACATGTGATGATTGTAGACGGACCGCCTTGATGAAGACCAACATGCACTAGTCTGGTGGAGTTTATGGAATGTCTTACCTCGATTTGAGACAAAATATGTACGGAGATATACTGAACAAAAACAACCGCAATACTTCGAATGATTATTGCATTGCTCGAGCTCTTTAACAATATGTTTTTGAATTGTGGATGATTGCCTTATAGTTGAATTCGTCATCAACTGACGAGCAACAATATGACTGTCATGCACATAAAGGGACCTCTCTTTGCTCAGTCGGTAAAGGCACAGCTACAAAGCAAAACCATGCTGGAGGTGGCTGGGCTTAATTCCCGGTCCGGTCTAGGAATTTTTTGGGTTGGAAAATTTCTCGAATTCCCTGGGTATAGAGTACGATTGTACTTGCCACACAATTATACTAATGCAAAAATGGTACAGACATCGAAAGCTCTCAATTGATAACTGTTGAAGTGCATCTAGAACACTTAGTTGAGAGCACGCAATAAGCTAATATGTCATACGCAATAAGCTTGAAACGCGAGGAAGAAGAAGAAGAAGAAGAAGAAGAAGAAGAAGAAGAAGAAGAAGAATGCACATAAAAGATGATATTTATTTGAAAATTTGAGGTCAAACAGAGGACATCAATTGAAGAGTATGATGTCTTGAAAATGCCTTAAATTAGATTTATAATTTGATTGTTTTCATTTCCGTACTGAATAGCCATGAGCAACCATTCCATTATGGATACAAAAATTGTTTGTTGGTAGGAGAAATTTCCACCACCACTAAATAAACAATCATCGGTTTTCATGCTTTATCAATATTCAATATTCATCCATCTATGATAGCGATGACTATGTTTCCACCTCGTTTGTCAGCTCAGATAAGCAAATTTTATTCGATGGAATTCTTTACATCATCATTTTGGATGATTTGCGATATAACACACGTATTTCCATGTGGGATGACAATCATTCTACGTATTTCAACTGAGGTCAACTCGCTTCTGTATCAATGTTCATTTTGTATTCGAGAGGAGCATCATATTATTGCAAAACAACCGCCATCCGGTTGTAGCTACACGGGAAAAATTCTTTCCGAAATTTAAGATAGTACTCCACGAATAAAATTCATGAAATCGTGAAAGTTGTTCCGCTAAACAAACGTAACGGCTATCGCAGGCGTTACGTTTGTTTTGCGGAACAACTTTCACGATTTCATGAATTTTATTCGTGGAGTACTTTCGTAAAGGAAAAATTGACTTGTTCCGAAAATCGTGACGTTGCACCGGGCACCAGCAAAGGCAACAAAAGTCATAGAA